TCCTTGTAGCCCCATCTGGTGGAGTGGGCGTTGAAGTCTCCTAATACTATGGTTTTGTGTGAGATGTTCAGAAAGTCAAAGTTTGGACAATTCTGGGGAGGATTATAGACTGCATATATCTTGAATTGATTTTGACATTTCCAAACATTTAATCTGATTATTTCACATTTGTCTTGTGTCGAGCCCATACTCTTGATTAGGTCATAGTGTGAGGTTAGGCCATCTTTTACTCCAGTTAGAATTCCACTTGCAACTTGCCGGTGTTTAGGTAGATTGTATAGAGTGTAACCTGGGAATTGGTAATACTTCAGTTTGTCATCCGAAATGTTAGCTTCCATAATTGTGAAAATGTCTACATCATAGGTTTGCAGGATTTTCTGTATTTGGATCTTTTTGTCCGGAGACATTCCTCCAGCATTCCACTGGAGGATCTGAAGACATTGTGATTCGCCCTGGCGAGGGCGATTTTTCTTATAGCCTTTTTCAAAGCTAATCATAATTAATCGAAGTCAAAAACGTATGCCGATTGATAGACTTTTTTGCCGTAAGAAAATACGTTGTCCAGGGTGCACCACGAGGAGGTAAGTCTATCGCGCACCCCGGCTTTGTAAAGTTAGATAACTATTACAATGAATGAAAGGAAGAATTTTGTTAGTGTAAATTGATTTAAGATTGAATAAAAGGAAGGAAGACGGAAGACATGAGGCTGTCTTGTGTTCTCATAACATTTATTCCTTTTCAGAATTCGTATGATAAGTAAAAATTAATTACTGACTCATTTGAAACTGTAAAGCTTATTTGAGCACTTTGGAATTCCCTTATCAGTGCTAACGTTGAAATGCCTTAACAACTGCCAGGCAAACAGAGTTGGAATATAATTTTCATTAAAGGCTCATTTGCAGTAAAATCCAACAAAATGAACATTGTCCTTTATCAATTTCATTTCCTCTTGATTGGTTCTGTCCAAATTTTCTCTTTTGAAGGATAAATTGAGGATTAGTTCTTTTTCCAATTCCGAAAGTTGAAGGTTTTAGTTGAAATCAGAGGCATTAAAAGAGAATTGCAGCTTAAACTTATAAAGTCTAAATTTGGGGAGTTAGGAATGAGTGCATGCATTCGAGATTTGCACAGTTTTAATCCATCAATAAATTGTTTAGGTTATAAAACCCGAAAGTCGTCAATTCTTGATTAGGCTAATTAATCTCAAAGGAAACGCCGATAGTGAATTAAGCAAAGTAGTGCTTTGCAAATGAGAGTACGGGGTTCATAACTTTGACAATAAATAACTAGTGATAACAGAGATAAAGGGGATTGACCATGGTAATGAAAAATTATTTGGGTGGTAGAAAACCGTAGGAGATTAAGCACTTTTAATCTGATTAGGTTAAAATTAACTTAAATTATCACTCGAATTTTCAAAATTGATTTAAATCAACTGCAATAAGAGATATTTCAGATATAATTTATTAACGTCTAACTGTTATGCCTATATTTCTCATATTTTCTCCCTATCGAAAAATTAATCTCCCATATCGATGCAATATGTCTCAACTCATTTGAAGTAAAGTATTTTCGTATTCGCATGAGTAAATTAAATGAATTACGAAGTCGCCTGCTGGAATTTAATAACTACTGCCTATTAAACATGATAAGTTATTTCTATCATTTAGCCAACGCGAGTAGTGATCTGACAACTATTATCTTAATACTCAAAACCTTTGAGAAACCCCACTCGAAGTGCCTGCTGCTTGAAGAACTTCTTCAAGAGGAAAAGTCTATGAAACACTAAATTCTATATTCATGCGTTCTAATTGTCAGATTTCATCTCCTGAGACATTTTTATTTGGTCTTAGGGGGTGTGCGATAGACTTCTGACTTCAAACTACAATGGCCCCACCGTATTGCATATTCAATCCCTTCCATAGTACTCATCTTACCTTTTTCCGGCATATGTCTGTTTATCTCTTACATCTTTGAATCTTTCTTCTGCTCCTCTCGAATTTTTCCACTTTGATGTTCCTCCCCCTCTCTATGAAGCCCGAAGTCAGCTCAAGGTCTAATGATAACTATCAGAACGCCTGCCATTTGAAATAAATAAATAAATTTGATTTAAGTTGCTTCATTTTATTTAATCTGCGCTACACCTGTTCATTGTAAGTCATTGCGTAGACTAACTTAGACAATTTTAGCATATTTCAGCATTTTCTAAACAATCTCCTATGGCCATCATAATTGAATTATATTATAAAATTATATATTAAATATGAAAAAACGTTATTTAATAAAAGAAATCTCTTCATACTGTCAAAATATTTTCAAATATATACATGAAATTTGAAGCTGTTGCACACGGGGGGTCTGTAGGACAGATAATTGGCACTTTGTCATTCAATAAGATTTTCAGGGCATTCTGGAGGATACTGGGTAAGTGGATGAACGCAAACACTTTCTACAAACGCCACCTCTTTCTGATGTGTCTTCTTCATGCTCCTATTGTTAGAATTAGTATTCTTCAAAGTTTCTTCTTGCTCTGATGCCACATGCTTTCGATTGGAATAATTCCTAACGGAAAGCATTTCAGTTTGATCAGCATTGCTTTCACAGCGAACGTCACGCATTTTTGATTTGTCCATGCAAATGAGAGATGCAAAACCTGCTCGAAATGAGTCGCTGAAGAAGGCGTAGAGAATAGGATTAACACAGCTATTTGCGTAGGCCAAGACATTACCCATCACATGAAAGACCCGAAATGTTATTGTTGGAGAATCACTGTAGAAGCTTTGATACATAAATATAACCTGAATAGGTAACCAGCAGGCCGCAAAAACTGATATTACAATAATAACTAGTTTAGTAGCTTTACGTTTGCCTTTATGTGCCTCGACAGACTTGGACATTTTGGAAACCCTTCCACACAGCAACTCTTTTAACAAGACGCTGTAGAATAAGCAGATCAAGGCTAATGGAAATGCGTAACCTAGCACAAAGAAGATAGTATAGAATAATTTGCTATTTTCTTGATTTATATTAACGGGAATATCATTATCGGCTAGTTGAACCATCCAAGAAATGTGACACATTCGCCGTTTACATCCGAATTCTTGATCGGGCTCAATCCAGTAAAATGTTCGCGATGTAATTGGGATTGGCAAGTTAGCCGCTATAAGAATTATCCACATTATGATAAGGGTTATAACAGTATTCTTTGTTGTTCTCCATAGCCTACTTCTCAAAGGGAAAACAACAGCGAGAAACCGATCGAGACTCATAAGAACAAGAGTATATACACTACAATATGCGGATAGAAAGGTTGTAAAGTTATAGATCTTGCAAAAGATGTCAGGCAACGGCCAAATCTCTAATGCATAGACAACCGCGGTGAAAGGAACACAGCAGATGATGAATGAAAGATCGGCTAGAGCAAGAGATAGGATGAGAATATTTGTGCTGTTTCGCATAGTGGAGTAACCAGCTATGACGATTATGACAAGGAGGTTTCCAGTAAAACCGATAACATCTACGATTCCAAATAGAATAGGCACAACATATCGTTGAAGAAGTATTAGATAATCTACAGGTTCATTTGCTGGACAGTTTGAATAGGCAGACAGATTGTATTGTTCAGCACTGTTCATTTCGTTTTGCTTTACTCTTTCATCTAAGAGAAAAAATGGACCAAAATTAGTGTATTTTAAACGTATTAGGAAGATTTTAATTAAGAAATAATTTAAAAGTAATTTGCAAAAGTACTACAGGAAATCTGGAACTGCGTCTCACTTTTACTTATAAGTATGCAATCTAAATAACATGCCTCTTAAAGCTATCTAAAGTTTGCCCAAAAAGGCCTTTAGTTCCGTCATTTCACTCACTTTAACCTATGCCTAATCTTTTAGGCTTACGTTTCCAACTTATCTTTCATTAACTAGATTTGATTTTAAGAAAACTGAGTCAGGTATAATATATTTGACCTACATTAAATTCGTCTTCTGGCACTTCTATCAGTTAAAATTTAAATGCATAGTGATAAAAAGAGAACAAGCTTTTAATTTGCAGTCTCTTGAGCAGTGCGTTATATGCAGGATCTAAGAGAGTGTTGAGGAAAAACATTGAACATGCAAATAAATAGGTGATTTAGTCACTTCAGAGTCATAATTAATAAATCACCAAATATCTTACCTTTCTTCAATCACACTTTTCTTTCATTTAATTTTTAATTTCAGTTATTATTTGAAATAAGAATTTTAACAAGATTTCAAGAGCTCTTGCATATAAAAGAGGATTTATTTAAATTAAAAATGCCATTTGTATTACATTATGAGGTAAATTTAAGATTCATTGGTTTTCAGAGCACTTACTGGTTGTTAAAAATAGTTCATTGATAATACTCATTAGACCCAATACTGTAATATATAAATTTGCCATTAACGAATTTTAAACAGCATTAAAAGTGGAACTATTTTGTCATGCTAATATAGACATCAGGATAAATTTAGACAGTAACCTTACCGATGGGGGTATGAAATTCTATAAACTAGCAACTTACCATGGACAAAGTTCTTTTAATTCGAAAAGCATGTCTCCTAAGTCAAATCCCTATTGGTTGAACTATCTCGCATGGTAACTGGCCAATTGCAAACCCACATTGGAAAAATTACCTAAAATGATTTATTCCATTAATTTTTGTTCATAATTAATTCAAATTTTTATAAGATATTTTATGATACATTATAATCCATCAAAAATGAAATAAATTGATAAATATTGCCTTTATTGCTTTAAATAGTTTTCTCAAGATACACTGAAAAGTGAATACCTTAAATCCCACGCTTATACATATCACTCTAAGATTATTCAGGTAATTTATTTATTCAACATATCTGTGTAAAATCTACTAAATTCCGGAATTTTATAGGCAAGTTATAAATGTCTCTCTTAACGTCAAGCTTGAGGAATTGGCAGCGATCATTTGAGTTAAGCAAACCTCTTGATTCACCATATAACAATCACTGTTCGTATTAATTTTATTTTCCACTAGTATGATTATCCGTTTAAACAGTTTAGTTGTAAATAAGCTCATAATATCCAATATTCCGAATTCCTAAACCTTTTGAGTTACGGAGGATAATGTATTCCAAAGAAAATGATACAAACAGTTTTTACCACTAAAAATACGTTCGAATAAATAAGCTAAAAAATATCACTAAAAAGTACGAAATGAAATTATTTGCGGTAATTTTAACTGTAAATTACTCTTATTTACAAAAATATTTTACTTCCTATGTCATCTTGTTAGAAAATTCAGTGCAAACCGATATTTAGCACTGAAATACGAATATTTTTTACATGTAAACTGTTTTATTAATTATAATAAAAGGTGATCATGACCCGTGCTTAGGGCCACCTGAAGCTCATGAGAAGTATCCGACACATACTAATTAATTAAAATGAGGACGGCAAATCAAGAGTGGTGGAAGAAGCTAACAAAACAGACAATCATACAGACAATTAAATTAAAAATGTGATTTGTGAGAGTGTTGAAACGCCCTGATATTGGAATTAAATTTCCTCATGTGAATTGAATATTTCAGTCTCTCTCTAACGGCACTACGGCTAGTCCTCAATTTCCTCAGATGTCAAATTATCACAGAAATGCCCTCCCCCTTCTAAAATTGACTGACAATGACGACGGTACACGTGAGTAAAATGAAGCATTTTGGTGAAGAAAAACTCTTCTGGTTATTGCCCAATGGAAAATTTGTCGTCAGAATGTAAAGGACAGTGGGTGGAGTATGAGACAACTTGGCTTATATGCAGTCCCAAGGACGTTTCTCTAGGTCTACGGAAAAAATTTCACAAACTGACAGTTTTTGGATGCGTATCCTGTGAGGATGATCCGATGACTGTGGTTATTTTTGAGGGTAACTCAGTGTGAATTTTAATGTGTGTTTGGACTTGCTGACCTTGTGGTGGTTTAGCTCTGGACGACGAAGTAAAATAGTGTGTCGTTGTAGATATGGGTGACTGCAAGGGGTTTTGGTTTCTGATGCACCTCAGGGAAAGTCAAAAATGATTGCCAGCCAATCTTTAGGACCTCACTTTTCTGAATGTTTTTGCGGCCTTCGAATACAATTTCACTCAGATATTAATCGATGTACTGATATGAGCATTTTGAGCGCTGTGGAGAAGAGAATAAATGGACTTTTAGTGCAATAGTTAATGGAGAGACTGAAGTCAGTAACTGATACAAATCTGAGTAAAAGTACAAAAACAGATTGCCTCCAGTTCTGTGGCTGAATCTATGGTAATGACTATTAAATTGTATTTGGAATTTATTTCTAATATGCCTTTCCAATAATGGAAGGACTGAAAAATTTAATTTGAACATTGTGAGCATATTTAATTCTTTTTCGAAGTACATAACAGTGAGTATGTTATTACTATAATGACTATATTTATTTCTCTAAGGTCATGTTTAGGCCAATTATAACCTGTATGCAAGCAGACAGTTTACCAGCTCAGGTATTGATTACTGAAAATATGCTCTCTTACCCACTTTAGTTTTATTCATTAAATGTGATTTTCAAATCCTTCCCTGTTAAAAAACAAAGAGATGCATGTAAATTTAGAACATGATAGTCAGGAAGAGGTGATCACTCATTTTACAGCATTACAGCTTTTATTTCGTTAAACAAACCTTAACTCTATCATTCGCCGCCTCCATGGTGACCTTTTTATTGACATCTCTACTTATAAACACCCACTCGCCCTAAGTTTGACTTCTTTTTTTTCATTTTTCTGACTGCCATTTTTAGTTCACAAGCAATGCTTACAAGGAATGCTTACTCAACCTAAATTTCTTCATTGGATAACCAATCTTTAACAGATAAATGGCCTATGCTTCACATCATACTACTTCAATAAAGCTGGCTTTGTAAGTTGATATTGGAGAATTAAGGTAGCTATATGGAAATCACTACTCCAATAAAGATGTGAAAATTTACCTTACTGATCAAGCATCTTTTCAAAATGTTTGCATCGTCAATTCATAAATTATGAGGTAAAGCATATTTTTCTCATTTTGCTACCTGAGAATTCGAAAAATAAAATGTCAAGAACTTATGGCTCTGTTTTCAATTTGTTTACTGTAAAAATAGTCTCTAGCATTGCAGCTGTTCTTAGTCACCACTTTTCCGATTTAGAATTGTATCTAAAAATATTTTGATTATCGACATCAGTCTCTATGTAATTAACTTCCTTGCTTTCTATTTACTAGTATAATTTACAATTGGGATTTGGAATAGAATGTATTAGTTCAAGATAAGCAGTAGCTTACCTCAGAGAGCAAATTTATATAGTTATAGCACATTTATCGTCACTTAAAAAACGTATTTGATTAATTTTTAGAGTACCAAGTATGCATTTCCTTTTGAATGAATTTATCCCTTATTACACATATTAATTATAATCTACTGTGGCATTTCTCTTAAATATTGGACACTACCAATGGAAACTGCTAAGATATATTCATTTGAATTACAATATATTATCCCTTTTATATGCAAATAAATATTTTCAAATAGCCTTTTAATTAATTTGTTAATCGATTCATTAATAAATGCATGCGCCCTTTTAAGAAGAGCGGACAAAATGCTTACAAATTGAGAACGAACTAAAAATTATTGCCAGTTGAAAAAATTTATAAATTGTGTTGAATAGGGTTTTTTAAACAGTTTTTTTGCTGAAATAATTTTCAAATTTTATTTTAATAATTAATGAATTTCTTTTTATTCAGTTTCACTTAAGACGAGTTTTTGTTAGTTTTTTGCCAAGGAGCGTTTTATTTTCAACTTTCGCAACTACTTTGCAGTGCAATTTATAAAATTTATTCCCAATTAACTCAAAAGGTCTGCACAGGAGAACCATAATGCAAATATTTCAGTGATATATTGATTGCAGTTGGAGCGGGATTTGGAGAAAGAAATTAATCTACCTACACTGAAGATAAATGACCAGGCCAAATTAAGTCAGCTAACAGATACGGTAAAATACGTCATCTGAATTACTTTTAATTTTAACCTTCAACTTTTTCCTTCAATAGAAAGGGAACATTTTGTTGCGTTAATGAAGATTAGACAATATTACTCTTCACCAAAGTAAACGTGTTTAATTTGATAATATATATTTATATCAAATGGCAGGCGTTTTGATGGTTATCATTAGCCCTTTATTTGACTTCAGGCTTCACAGAGGGAGAGGAACATCAAAGTGAATTAAAGTCAAAAAGAGGGGGGGGGGGTTGGACAGCCGAATGTTTCAAAGATGTAATAGAGACAGACACAAAGGTATAAAAAATGTGAGGTGAGTTCTGTGGAAATGGTCGAATTTGACATATAGTGGGGTGATGGTATTTTGAGATAAAAAGTCAAACTGCCGGTTAATAGACTTTTTTGCCGAATAGGTATACGTTGCCCAGAATGCACCACATGGAGGTAAGTCTATCCCGCATCCCAATTTGATTATATATATATATATATATTGAGTTAAGAAAAAGTTAAATCAATAAATAAAAATCATTGGTAAACCAGCAATTTTTAAAAGGCTATTTTTATTTAATTTATTTTAAATTAATGATATT